GAATTGCTTTCTTGTCTGTATTAACACCAAGTCCTATGCTATGTTTATATTTGGGTTGCTCCAGGCTGATGCTTTTAAAAGAACTACTGGAGATAATACTGTTAAAGCAATGCAAGGATGGTTTGGGATTTTCCTAAAACCACAGGAAATTCAATCTGATAATGTTTCTCACTTTACTGTCAAAAGTGTGCAGGATAGGGCAGAAGGTGAAAAGATTAAATGGACTTTTCACACCTCTTACTATAGATGGGGGGTAAATGAGTGTTCCAAAATCACTGCTTTTTGCCCAACAGCTCCAAGCACAGTTCCTTCACTACAGGGACCAGATGATGATTTCAAGAACCCAGCACATTACCCTGGACAACCTGCTTTTGGTGGACTCCCTGCTGCTGTAGGGGAAGTACCACTGCTGTTCAAAACCTCTCTGACCATTCCATTGTTCTAATTTTTCTGCCTTTTTGTTGCAGAGTCTGTTGTGTTTACTTTTTCAGAAGAACTCCAAGGGACAGGAAGACCTGATAAACCATGATAACACTAGAGATGGACAACAGAAATAATGTTTTCCCTTCCCTTTATGGTAACACCAGGTGATGATATGATACATAACATGTAAATTAATTGAACTTGAATAAATTGGCTGTCACAATTGGAGATTTGACCAAATTACATCAACCACTGCAGTCGTTCTTATTGGCTTTTGTGAACACACCAGTGGCTGCTATCAAACATATTACCAAATTGGGAGAAGGTAAATGTAAATGATCACAACTTGATAATTGATGCACTTGGTGCTACACAAAACAATGTTTCTTTGGCTCTCAGCTGTATCCAGACACAATTGTGGATGCAGTCAGTTTTTGCTTCAATTATAAGAGAAGGTAAAGAAGGCACTTTTCCCACTGAAATTTAGAAAATAATTTGGGACAGTGCCACTGATTTTGAAAGAGAATTCCAGTCCTGGTGGAACCTAGTGAAATTTGACCCATGACCTCATTCTGAATACAGCCACAGCTTTTATGTTAACCATACGCAATGCCTCAGAGCATTTGACTTTCCCTGTTATAGCACTAGAACTGAATTACGACGGAGCTATTCTCTGTCTTTCCGAACATTGAGAATGGGCCCGTCAAATTGGTGAAAAATAGCAAACTGTTAATTTGGAATCTTGTATTGCCTGAGAACAATAAGAGTTCATCTGTGAAAGCAATGCAATCATAGTTCAAGACATGTGTTTAAACAGAGAGCAAAACATCTGTCATTTTGAGATTTGTTGTAATGAGGCTTTTGAAACAGTTCTTATATACATAGGCAATAGATGCACATGCTTTAGAACCATTTGTTATTTTGTGCTTATATAAAATGTTATAGTAGATACTAAAAATCATTCAAATTTCTGTGCTTGTAACTTTACCGAGATTTCAGGATGTGATTTTTTTTTTTCTTGTGAAGCTCCAGTCACTTCTCACTACCTATTGCAATCTAACTACACACTGATTCACAAACTGATGTCTACTCCTATTGAGATGAATCTTACTTTGGTAAGACAACTGCTGCTCCATCAGAACTTGGTTGAAATCCTGGAGAAGATCAAGGAAAGCGGACAGAAGACCCTGGTGACTATTCATCACAATGTAAGACAGATACATCGTGTCATGGAAAGAGCGAAGAAAGATACCAAGCACAGGTGGTGGGACACACTTTTGGGTGGTCTCCTACTGCCGTGAGTGTCTTGAACAGTGTGTGTCATCCCATTGTTATCCTTTTGATCCTTTTGATACTAATTCTGTTTGGTTTTCTTTTATCAGCAATCCTAGTCGTTATGAATTAGAAGATGGTGAAACAGCTGACAAGATTGATGTGTATAGTTAATGCACACAATTTGGCTGATGTACCCTGCACTGTAGAAATCCCCAAGACATCTGACACAAAGCAATTATGAATTAAGCTTATGTTTTTTGAGTAATCCTGAGTTTCCTTTTATGATTTTGTGAAAATTACTTTTGATTTTTCATGAATTGTTTTAGAAAATTATTTTAAAGTTAATGCTTATATTATGATTTGTTTATTGCTTTTTGCTTTTGATTATTTGTGATTTGTTTTAACCATTTCTTGAAATTGTTATACAAATAATATTGTTTTAATTAATTTTTGAAATTGTTATAAAAATAATACTGTGTTAATTAATCAACCATTTGTGAAAATTGTTATGAGAATCAATATTAATTATGTTTGTCTGTTGTCTCCCTTTTCCCCCTCTTTTTTCCTATCCTTTCTTTTCTTCCTTTTCTCTTTTCTCTCTCTCTTACATACTGCCTGTGCTTTTCCAGGTATGCTACCAACGTACGGCAAGACTGATCAGCGACACTCCAGAGCCCTGCTGATGAAGATCCCTTCATGACAATTGTGAGCCATGGGGTTGAGTGAGAGCCTGTCGGAATTTTCCCTCATCTGCCTCACGATTGTCCTTGGGAGCCCACTGAAGAGAAGACCCCCCTGTCTGGAATCTGCCTCTGAAGGAGAAAAGTCACACGCCATGGGCCCTGAGACCTGAAAGCTCAGTGTTAAGCTATTGTTTTCACAGGAGTGTTTGCTGTATGCT